AGCCGCCAACATCGCAAGCCGCGTGGAGGGAAGGGCTTCCGTGGCAGCCTTCGCGCCGCAGGGGCGAGATATTCATCGCGAGACAACGGCTACTCTGGCAATGCCTTCGAAATTGGGGCTCCTACTGAGTCCCAGCTGTCCAACCTATCCTCAGTCATCACTGAGCCACTTCCAATCAGTGATGGGAGCAACATCCACAACGTCTCAGAGAATCCCACCGGCAATCACCCTGCTTGGTCACACGGGCAAGTCAACCGCGCAGATATGGAGGCGGATGGCATGCCTGGAAAGAAGAAGAACAAGCGGAGAAATAAGAAAAAGAAGCAGCAGGAACAAGGAGATTCGGCTGGGCAGGGCAACGATTCACAGCAGGTTCGTCAAGCTCACCTGCAGCCACCTTCCGGTTTCCAGGTCAATGCAAAGTCTGTCCTGCCCTCGGGCCATGGAAATGGCGAGCCTGCCCGTCGCGGAAGAGCCGAGCAAAACAAGCGCGGCATTGGCAAGCGTGGGCGAGGTGGCGCTAGACCTCAGAATCTGAGCGGCAGCGAGCCCTCGTCCTCGAACGAGCCTCACGCATCTGCGATCACAGACAGAGACGGCAATGCTGCAGACCATGCAGGGCAATTTGGCACTAGGGGCCGTGGCTGGGGCAGACGCCGTGGAAATGGACGTGGAGGGCCGTCAAAACCGGATTGGAACTCTATCTCGATGGCCTCAGATGTCTAGTGTGTCCATCGAAAATCGACAAACAAGGCAACTATGCTTGGCTCTAAAGACCGGCTCTGGAGACACTTGAATGTCTCAGAGTAAAGCTTCTCGAGCTAATCAGAATTGGCTCTCATGGTGGTCAAATCAACTAGTTGACGCCATCGAACTTGCTTTTGCTTCAATATGTCACATGTCAACCGTGCTGTGACGTCAAAGATTGCTTTTGACCTTTTTCAGAGAGTATTTTCTACTCTTCACTTGCTTTCATGGGCTCCGACTGGGGTCAAATTTGGTACGAGGTTTCGGAATGTGTATAGATGGGCGGCTCAGTCTTTTCAAAGTCAGATTTGATGTATCAGTCATAACTTTGTGTCGAATGGAAATGGGATCTTTCAGGTATTCAGCTCCAGGGTCACACGAGGTTTGGGTTTCCTAGGCTAGGTAGATTTGATAGTATAAGAAAAGTTTCACAACAACGGTCCGCACACTCTTTGTTTATGATGCCGAGAAGGGGACCGAGATAAAGGACGCCGACAAAGACGCTTACAAGGAGAAGTCCACCGACTCCTATTCTTCTCGAGGCTAACCGAGATCTTCAACCTGACTGATGATTGAGCGACCTCGGACATATCGATTATCAGTAAGATTTGTCCGAGTCTGTTCAGGTTCTTCAGGTCTCTGCTAGGAAGGCGGTTGGTATGAACCAGAGATATTGGAGGAAAGCTGGCTTTAAACTCTTTGTACCTGTTGGACGTGTGGTAATGGTGCACCATACCTGTCCAAGCCGGACAGTCATAGCTGTGGCCAGGGCGACAGGTGCTCGGTACGTTCGACCTCTGGCTGACCTGAGCTACCTGGCTGACATCTTTATTCTCATGTCATCGTTGACATCATTCTACCCCGGATGCGGGTGTTTGTGGCTAACCGCGTCGCTTACGCGCTCAAGGGAGAGTCCTTGCGGAGGAGACAATGGTGAACTCCAAGGCCCTGAGGTAACAATAGGGGGTCCGAGTCCGCAATCAATGCCTAAGTCTCCCTTGAGGGAAGGTGTTTGGCTTCATCAAAAATGACAGAGGCATAGGTAGCGTAGTCGAATTTGACGTAAAAGCCCAATCTCCTGGTCGTTCCCCGAGACGTCAGAGTCCATCAAGCAGGCGACGACTCTCACAGATATTGAGCCTTCGAAAACACGTCTTCAATCATCTCGCTGTCATAACCCTAGCCCTTGACCCCTCCTCATTTGAACAAGTCTCTACAAATGTCAAGCGTTATTCTTCAGAAAGCCTGCAACATGCTTCCTCTGTCGCTGGCCAGCACTTATCGAGAGTATAAGCGCGACACTGATGTGTTGGCTTCCTGGCTCGCTCTGACTGCCCGATCTCACGGATACAAAGGTGATGTGGCCTCTGCTGGTAACGAGGGCGGAGACGGATCGAAGGCAGAGATGCAGACCGTCAAGGGGGATGACTCCGCCATGGGAGATCACACCGGCAAGAGAAATGACAACGGACGGCCATCGAGATACAAGGTGGCCATTCGAAACTTCGTGCCCCTCGCTGAGTCCATCGCCTCGACCAAGCCAGCGATCACCACCCCTCCGTCCATCGTGAACACGATCAACAGGGTCATCACCGCCCGGTCGGATTTCGCCTCAAAGGTGAAGGATTTCAGTGGCCTGGATGCCCACGCCGTCGAAGCGCATGCTTATTTCGTGGGGATTATCGAAAAGGTCCGAGATATACTGGCTCCCAAGGATGTGGCGAAGACCCGGCAGTTTGTTGCGTCATCAGACGAGGAGACTACAAACCAGTTTGCTGCTCTGGACTTCGAGGATCCCTCGATCGACTTCCTCAACGCTCCAGATATCGACAAACCCATGTCCCAGGCGACTCCTGCGGCTCCGGCGTCTCACGCACTAAAATACGAAGCGGAAACCTCAGACGAGCTCAACACCCTGGACGCGATCATCATATTCGCCTTGATGGCAAGCGATCTCGCAAGAGTTCGTGTAGTAATTATCGACACCTGGGGCAAAAATGCCCGCGGAGAACTCACCCTGTCGGCGGCCGCGCTCACCACATCAGCCGCCGTTGATCTCGCGATTCACGCTGTCAAGGATGTTCTTCCCAACTTTGAAGCTCAAGGAGGTGTTTGGGAGGTAGCTCAGCAGTTCGTTGCCCTCGTCTGTGCTAAGAACGGTGTCGATTCGGAAACCCTCAGTTACAGCCAAGGCACGACGCTCATGTCCGAACACATGTACACGATGTATGACCGCTCCCTACTTTGTGTGTACGCAACCCTCGACGCCTGTCTCCAGTCTATGAAGAAGGGAAAAGACTTCGAGGTCCCCGTATTTTCGGGCCCGAAGTCGCTGGATTGGGTCATGAAAAAGCGTGGACTGTCTGGGAGCCAGCGGTTTGATCAGGACCAAGACGCAGTCATCCGCTTGGTTTCAAACTACCTTACTCTCAGCAATCATGTGACAAGGTCAGAGTGGCCCGTCGAGGATGAGATACTGCGTGGCATCCGGGAGATGAAAGCCACGGGCTCTGTCCCCTTCTATCTTGTTCTTGCAGCACAGATCCACGTGGACATACAGCAAAACCTAGGTATTCTGACCATGAATCCCTCTCAGAAGATGGTTGAAGAACTCAACAGCATGAAGGCCGATCTCAACCATGAGATGGGTGGCAAGACTGACTTTGAGCGTTCTCTGGCTGTGGTGACGCAGCCGAGCATGTGGCCTGTCGCACGCGACAGAATTGCGAGGGACATGATCGAGATGATGGACAAGCTTCTGAAGGACCCATGCCATCAAGCCAAGCTCCGAATTTCTGGCACACCACCGCAGCAGGTTGCAGAAGCGTCCTTCTTCAGGGACTCTCCCTACATGTCCGGTCTTGTTGTTGCCTACTGCCGCAACTACATGAAGGAGGCTGGCATCGATCTTGCCAATTTCTGGGCCACTTTCGTCAGCACTGCACATGTTTACAACGCGGTGAAGCAGCTTGGCCTCTTGCGGAATCCTTGGACGGACTTGGAGATTGCGCTCTCAGGAGCTGGTCTCGAGAGCAAGCTTTTCACTGGACCACCTCCCACAGACGGAAAAGACTTTTACAGGAAATACAGTCTGCAGTTGGGATTTTCAGCTTTGAACTTTTCCAATTTGCACAAGAAGGCGGGCAAGGCCAATACCGATGCTGCGGGGACCAAAATGGCACCCCAAGCCGAGAAGCGTCTCATCCAGCACGAACATGTTGCTTCAACTTTTACCAGTCTCGTTTCCAAGTACTCGTACGGCGGGTCAACGACGGAGTGGGCCGATTTGCTTGTGAGGAACATTGCTGAAAGCACCACAAGACATGGAGAGACCGTATTTGGCGACCATGGTGCCAACCATTTCAAGAAGATCGCGAGCAAAGTCCAGGGCAAAGAGGAGGCCAAATACCGGCCAAAGCCAAATGAAGAGAATGACGCCGAGGCGGGGAATTGCCTCAGTCCGTGGAATACGGCCATACAGCTCAGAATGGCTCTTCAAGAAGAGTCAGTGGAGTTTGAATTTCCGTATCTTGAGTTCCATCGCTCGGCTCGATCAACGATGGAAGTCGTCAAGGGCATCGTAATGGAGGCCCTCAAAGAGTTTCTGTCGCCGGGTCTGGCAGAAGAAGACGTTGAAATGCAACTTGCTGTCCAGTTATTGTTCAAAAGTTGCAATGCCGATGCCAAAGAGTATGACGGTAAATTCGCCATGCGGTGTGTTGCCGATTATTTCAATCATCTCATCGAGACGGAAGGCCATCCGGTGGAGGAATACCTCTGTAAGAGGGGCCTCAAGGAGTTTGGCCATGTCGAGCCTGCTGAGGGAGAGTCGACAAGATAAGCCTCACTGGAAGCACGCTCGTTGGCTTGCGCGGTGAGTACACGGGAGACTTTTGAATTTGATTTATTGTTTGTCTCGCAGTAAAGGATAGATGGGGACAGTTTGGCAGATGAGAAGGACAACGAGAAGGACGAAAAGAGAGATCCCGAGGAGAACATAGGCGGTAGAAAGCCATTAAGATAAATTGATACACCGTGACAGTAGAACTCTTACGAAGAAGGTGAAGGATTGGTTGGTTAAACAACAGGACGGGGGGATGCGCCACAGTGTTGAGCCACAGAGGCAAGCCACACAAAACTGGTGATGTGGCACCTGTACCCCCACTTTATCCCTCGCATCGCACATTTTCAGTGTTCATGTCACAACTCACATTCCATCTACCACTCCACTATCAGCCACTCCACATGACAAGATGCTTCCGGCTCCCCTAGTCAGTGTCTACCAGCAGTATAAGCAGGACACTGATTCCGTGGCTTCATGGCTCGCGTCCACAGCCAAGGCCTGCGGCTACCCAGCCGATCTACTGAAGCCGGTTGGGCAGGCAAAGAAAAGGGCCAAACACAAACACAAGAATACTTCGTCTAAGTACGTTGTGGCGCTCAAAGACTTTGTCCCGCTCGCTCAATTCATCGCCGGCTCCAAGAAGCCAGTGGTGGATGTCCCGGAATCCTTCGTCACCACCATCGACCGGGTCATCAATGTCCGCTCCTCCTTCAGCAACCGCCTAGCTGAGCATGGCAAACAAACAACATTCGAAGTCGAAAAGCCTCACTCTTTCTTTCTCGGGATTCTCGAACAAGTTCGGGAATCTCTGAGACCTCGCATGCCAACCGCTACTGCGGCATGGGCGGAGTCGAGCTCCTCGTCTTCTGCCGATGCGCTCGCGAACGCATTTGAAGCACTGAAGGTTTACGAGCCTTCAGACGACTTCCTGAAGGCACCGGATATCACAAGACCTGAGCCTGAGAAAGCTACGGATAAGGTGGTCTATGAAGCCGAGGGGGCCGCATACTCCGATTTCCAAGACGCCATATTCGCCTACTCTATCATGCTGGAAGACCTCCGCAAGATCCGCACTCAGATCTTGTTTATCTGGCAGAATTACCGCGACGGAGCCTTTGATGTTGCAACTGCCGCCATTGCAACAAACACCGCCGTCGAGCTTGCGCACAACGTCGCAGAGGAGGTCATACCTCTGTTCCGATCTCATGGCGGTGTGTGGGAGGTCGCTATGGCTTACTACCACGCAGCCGCCCTCGCCAGCGGCTTCAGCAAGGAGAGCATGAATATTTCAGATGCAGGAAGGGACAACAGAACGGCCTTCAACGTCAAGACGTACGACGTCGCGAACAACACGTACATCAACGTCTACCGCTTCCTGGAGGGCTTCCAGGCGGTGTTAAGACCCAATGTGCTGCCTCTATTCAAGCAAAGGCGTCTTTGGAACGTACGATCCCACCAGCAACTTGAAGACGAAGTCTCCCGAAGAGAAATTCCAAGAGGATCAGGTCATCATGATGGAGGTTTTCGGGGAACTCATGGCAATCATTCGGACTGTGCCAAATTGGCCAGTAGAAGACGAGTTTCTCCGAGGTATGCGAGAAATGGAGGACACGAAGAAGATTCCGTTTTACCTTGTCTTCGCTGCCCAAACATACCTTGACATCCATCACATTCTAAGGGACGACGTGGAGAGAGGATTTTTCCAAATGAGCGACGAGACCAACATCATGCGCAACAATCTGAAAAGCCATCTTGAGTTTCATCAAAGTCTTAAGATCGATAGCTGGACAGTCAAGCACGACCGGGCTCTGAAAGACAGAGTCCGTCATTGGATGGCTCGGTACTGATCCAATTCATCAGGTCAAAAACGATTATGCGCGAAGGCATGGAATCCCTCTCTCACCTGACACCAAGCAGTACTACCTTCTCAGGCAGTCGCCCGTCATGTCTGGTCTGATTCTGCACTACTTCCGGCTTGATCTTTACGACATTGGGATTGCCGTAGCTAATGCTTGGGGATCCATCACATACATGGAGCACCTCTACAATGCCGTGGATAAAGAAGGTCTTCTCGAAGAACCATGGGAAGATATGGATTTCATGCGGATCCTCGTGGGCCAGGATGCTTTCTACGTCGGCGGAGCCCCTTCTGCACCAGAGGACTATTACAAGAAGTTTTGCCTTCAGATGGGCGTATCTGCTGCAACTTTTGCGAACCGCAGTAAGAGACGGGCTAAGATAAACCTCGAGTCTCGCGCTGGACCTCGCGCGATCAAGAGGGGAGCTCCTGTATCCGTCATGTTCCAAAATCGATTTACCCTACGCGGGCCTGGCATGGTGTGGACCACTGAGCTCGTCGATAACGTGCTGTCGCGTAGCGAATGGGAGGAAGAACATGATGGCGATCAAATCGTCAGCATGGCTCGAGTCATAGACCCGAAGAGGCTGACTAAAATACGAAAGGGCAAGAACAAGAAGTTGGCAGAGGACGGAGGACGTCTGCCACCAGAAAAGCTGATCAGATCTCTTCTCTTCGCGCTGCAGAGCGAGATTATGGAGGTTGCTTTTCCGTACCTACTGATGCATCGGTGGTGTTGGATGGTGCTTCGGAGTCTTGAGGAGCAATGTGACCCCTTGTTGAGGGAGCTCTTCACACCGGCGTACATCGAGCGTGAGAATCAACTGCCGTTTGTCGTAGGCTGGATTCTCGCGGCGATGAACAGTTCCGGTGAAGTGCTACAGGATCGTCGGTTGTTGGAGTCAGCTGCGGTCGTCTTGAATACTTTCTTATTTGCTGGAGCTGCAGGAAGCATATGCGGCTCGGTCCTGGAGAAGATTGGGATCCATGTACAAGTTGAGGATGATGATGACTCTGAGTAATACGTAAGGTAGAGGGGGTTTAGCGTCGATAAGGGTTTAAGTAAGACTAAGAGGGAACGAAAAAGACATCAACGGGGTTCATATCTTCAAGTGCTTCCTGAAATGTGATCTCTAAGCGCAAGTTATTCGCAGCATACTTTCGCTGGACTACCGACAATCATTGCGTTCAAGGCAGACGTCCGGGTAGGTGGCGTCAGCACCGTGAAAGGCTGGAAACAGGAGGCTAAATGTTGAACCAATCCCAGTCACAATCACAACACAAACAATAGCAATAAAAAAACCTTGAGATTATGCATATATCCGACTTCAATCAGTTTCAATGCTATTCTGCCCGTTCGTTTCACCGCGATAGTCCTTGTAGTTTGTTGCTGCAGCCCTCTTGGTTTTGTTGGGGTATGCAGATCTACCTGGACGAACGACTTCGGCAAGACGATCACCAGCAGTAGGCTCCAGGAGCCCCCTTACTCTTGCAGCAATCGTTGAAAGCACCGGAGTTGAGACAGTTGCCAACACCAGTACACTGTCACGGAGGCCAGCACAGAAACCAAGAATGATCACATGGCTATTTTCAGAAGAGCCGAAGTAACGAACCTGGTTGTTGGGGCCGGGAAAGTTAGGTGCAAAGAAACAAGCGGCGTTGACATCTCCGTTGCAGCATTGCTTGGTCAGGTCATTCCACTGAGGGCCTTTACCGCTTGGGTCCTGGCATTTGCAGTTCTTGCCAGCAAATGCACCTGTGATTCAGAGTTAGTCCCTGGGGGGGCCTTCATCAAAGTGAAAAGTGGCCAGCGAAGAGTTCATCGTACCAGAGATGGTGGCGGCAAGCATGAAAATCTGGGCAAAGCGCATGTTGACGGAATGGCAGATGAGTCAAAAATAGCGAAGTTGAACGGTGCTTGGAAGCAATCTAGTGGTGATACAGCGACGACGGTAGAAACAGTACTAAATCATAAAGATCATAGTAAAGGCACTTATATGAGGTATTTGTAAGATGTACATATCTTTCAGGTAGTACTCTGCCGGGTATCGAAACTTCTCTGATGACGGCGATCAACAAGTCACAAACACGTCATGTACAGCCTGAGAGACATTTACGCAAAATAGTAAGACGTGACAGCAATCCTGAAGAGCGAACGATCTGCATCACGGAGCTGGAAATTCGAGCTCTCCCTGGAACATTCATGCGACTAGTCACGTAACGGGAAACTCCCAATCTCACGAACCTCTGCTTGGGGGAAGGGCATGGAACCCTCTACACAGGTCGGCTCGATATTTCTCCCTGGCCTGATTTGCTTTTGTTACGTTTTTGGCATGCAGACAAGTAGCAAATTCTTTTTCTCTAAGTTTTTGTTTAATTATGGCAATTTATGTAGGCCATGTTCAATAAATGGATGGTTTTACTGCTTTTGTATCGTCATTGTTCATGCTCCATCAGTTAGACCGCAATTCCTGGCTCCCCTGAGCTGAGGCGATCACAGACTTGATGTGCAACTGGAAGTCCCCGTCCTGCTCGGCAAAGAAACTGCAACTGGGTTAGACTTTTCTCCTAGGAAGGCTTTCGGATCTGCTCACCTTCTAATCATGAAGTTGACTCTCTTGATGCTGGTCAGATCAAGAGGCGCAGTGTCGTTTTGGACTCTTCCACGGTATGTTGGGACAAAGTCCGCGATTGGCATAACGACCTTTTCGACCTCACCCGTTGTGTGGTTGACTGCTGGAATCTGGAAATCGAATTCCCAGCTCACACCAGACTGCTCAACGCCGTTGATGGGAGGCGGAACAGTGTCCTTCAAGTTGAACGTGTACTTCTTGCCGTCAGAGTACGGAACCTCCAGGGTGATGGTGTCGTAAGCTGAAACATCAATGCTGGGCCAGTCGTCGACTGTTCGCTGCGAGGCGAAACCGGCGCCGCCTAGTGTCGCATAATCCAGATTTCCGTGGAAGTTGACGATCGTCTCGGTGAACGGGTTACCGACCGCGCCAGGCTCGATGATGTCCAGGAACGAATGACTCGTCCCGTTGCGAACGGTGTCGTCAGACGCGACCCATTCACTGGTGCTCCAGGGGCTGAAGAGGGGCGCTGAAGCCAGAGCGCGAAGCGCAAACGAGCCGATCGGAATATGCATCGTTGAGTACGAGGTTGTTTTAAGAAGTCGTGGATCCTGTTGGGCGAGTAAGGGCAAACGAGTGACGGGATTGATCGACGAACGCTGGATGCGATGTTCTGGAAAGGATGCGCGAGGGCGGAGGTGTCTTGTTTTGAACGTCCCCGGTTTCGCTTTCAATCGTCAGCGCCAAGCTGATCATTTATTCCTGGCACCACCCGGAGTAATCCAACGTTCCGGTTCAGTTCATCGTGGGCTCATCTATTCTACAAACTCTATTTTGCGTTGTTCAACCCCGTGTCGTCGTTCAGCAAATTTGTGGGGTCCCCAATCAACGATGTCATGGATCTGGGATCTTCAGTCATGTCATCCAAGAACGTTGCTGAGAGCCAAGCAGCCGGGCCTGCCGAGACTTCGACTGCCAGGGAAGTCAAAAAGCCACTTACCCCTAATACCGATATGTTTAAGACAATTGACTTATGATTGAACACAATACCCTTCAACAAATAGCTGATGCCAATTACTTAGAATAAGTCCGCATCGGCCTTGGACATCCAATCTTTGGTCGAATTGAGGGTAGTTCATCCCTGGGTAGGTTGTCAAGACCTGAGCCGCATGGCAAACCGTCTTTACAACAGCGTGATCATCAAGCAGTGCACCCATCGCCTTCGAGGCTTCGCACTTGCGATAATGTTATCGCATCACGAAGGCAAACCTCGCCATCCCACCTGTTTGTGCAACCCGGCAAAGGCGCACTGATTCGGTATCAATCATCAGTCATTCAAGATCTTAGCAGGACGTGGTACTTGGCTTCGATGCAGATTCGAACTTGCGAACCGGCCAGTGAATACCCACAGACCCTGACAGCAGAAGGCTCGACGAGGCTCAAGGCTCAAGAGAAATGCAGCCGCTCTTTTTGTTGTGAAGTTGCAGTATGGTCAGAGGAGACGAAGCAATTGTGCGATGGCGTATGAAGTCTTCTACTGGTCTTGACCGAAGCGGTCTGCCGTGCAGGTTGGCAAATAAGCATTCATAGGCTTGCCCAAAACATGAGCAGGCTGGATGGTTGGCTCCCTCAGTTGTGGATCAATGCCGGGGCAGGGAGACGCGTCGATCCAAAGAGGCTCCAAGCTTCAGGAAAATGTTGGACGCGACCTGGAAGGCTCATTGTGGTCAAGAAACGGACGTTGAAATTCTCGGTGAGAGATCGACAGTCACCTCCCAAGTTTCGCCTGATCTACAGACACGTTAAATGAGCCGCTTCCAGCACGTGTCAGTCCGCCATAGCTTTCTGCTCTTCAAAGCTTTCGCAGAGCTTAGATCCCGGAGCGGTCTCCGTTGCCGGGATAACCATTTGTTCCCCACCTCATGTTGCATTGGATCCGCTTCGCAATGTGAGAAGTGAAAATCCCATCCTGTGGAATCAATCCGGACGGCAATCATTGCCGTAGCTGGGCACCGAGTGGATTTGAGAACGGCCTTATCGGGGCTTCTCTTCCAGCTGGTGGTGATGTTCTTGGACGGGGTTACACCGCACTTGTCAGTGAAGATGCTGAATTCGGTCGAGATTCTCGTCCATGTCCCTCAAGGTGATCACTCAATCAGTGGATAAACAGCTTGTGGTCCTGTCAATTGAGTCATGCTACCCAAGTTGGCGCGATCAGCTTGGTGCACAAGCAAAAACCACGACCGCCGTCCAATATCCACCGGAATTTTCATCGCGATGCTTGCCAGTTGCAGTCCCTTGAGGCAGAGCTTGACGATGGACACCGCGTTCTGGTGAGAACGGCGCGATGTGGTCCGTTTGTGGATCTACCGCAAGGCTCTGATGCTTGATCATCCAATAACTCCCGAAGTGGATGAGGCTATTCTGTTTTGCACCCCTTGTCAGTTCACACAATTGCAGGGCTGGTTTGACTGATGCTGAGATCGACGTTGAGGTTTTCACTCCTTGGCTGATTTTAGAGCCCAAAGCGAGACAAGGCCAAACTCATGGATCTTCAAGCAAGATCTTCGGTTTAGCTCCCCTCAAGGATGCTGAGCGTTTTCCCCAGTCTGAGCCCCTATTTAATAGCTGATCAAGAACCCGACTTTTGACGATTCCGTCCTCTCCAAAGACTCTTTCTTCTGAATCCTAGCAAACCTCACCACAAACCCGCCAAAATGGTCAACTTCGCCGCTGCCGCTCTCGCCTGCTTGGCCATGACTCCTCTCATCGGAGCGTTCCCCACCAACTCGACCCTCTTGAAGGCTGCTCACCACAACGGTACTCACCACCACGTCGCCCGCTCCAACCTCACCGCTGCCGAGCACTTCCTTGAGCCCATCAATGGAACCCACCACCACTTCACTAGATCCAACACCACTCTGCTGAGAGACTTCCACCACAACGGCACTCACCATTCCCCTGGCTTCCGTGAGTCTCCTCGACCAAGGACTTGGTTCCGAAACAATGATCTAACATGGGCATAGACAACTAAGATCTTTCCGACATGTACGAGCTACGATGGCAGTATTGAATCATCGCCAATCACATCGGCTATATGAGCGTGGATAGCAAGTCATGCTAGCAAGGGCTCGCCACCCTCTGGTCATCTGCAGGCTCGGTTTAGCTGGTTTCCAAGACTTCAGACTTCAGGGCCACGTCATTTTCAAGTTGTAACGTGGCACGCAAAATTTGGATGCCCGAATGTAATTATGTTTATTAATAATGATGATAAGCGGTTTTCAACTTCCAAGAAACGCTCCGCGAGTCCCTTATATCACCTAATGTTGCTTATAAGACCGTATGTCTTAGCTGTGCTCATGTGACTGCAATGTCTATTTCCTATGTGTTCGAATGAAATCGCCCTTGATACAAGGCGAAAAACTGGATACCGCGAGAACACCAGAGATGACGGCGACGAAAGCGATGCCAAAAATAGCAAAGATAAATTTAATGAAGAATACGACAAACATCCGCGGCAAATACATCTATACAACCAAATCTCGAGGAGTGTTGCCTGTGTGTAACAGCAAGAATAGATAGTAACTGTTTTAAGTTCCCGCAACAGTGGCTTGTAATGGTACATCGGTGCATTACCTTACCCAATGTACGCCTGTCGAAGTATGACGCTGTAACCGTATGCCAGTACCGCTACCAATTAAGTACTTAGTGACGTTGAATCGAGAGTCGGTCTTACAGAAGTCCGGAAGAGCCAATCACCCTTGCGAAAAAAGCATAGGAGAAACCTAAGAAATACTACTGCTGACGATAGGCGGCTCGGGCTTACACGCCCTACAGCGAGCTTACACGCCTTACACCGGGCTTACACGTTAAATCCGATTCGTCCCAAAATATCGTAAACTTACCATCTCCGGAATGTCTAGACTGATGATGGTCTAACAAAGAATGACGCAGGTCTAGCTCCCAGTTTGGACCAATTGGTAGGTGCGCCGAACTCAATTTTGTGTCTTACTTGAGTTAGACCGGTGCTTCCGATGACAACATGGCAGGCTAACATAAATATGCGATGAGCCTCCCCGCATTCTTGGGAGATTGTCTGCCATATCACCAAACTCATGATGGGTTTATTTGGTACATCAAGCTCCGAAAATATGTCTGAAGTTCTCGTCGTCACCTCGGCCAGCGGCCGACAGAATGCCCACCTGCTACCGCTTCTTGTATCATCCAAGCGCTTCAAGCTCCGACTTGTATCGCATTCAGAGGCCTCAGCCGACAAACTTCGGACAAGATATCCTGGTGCCGAAGTTGTCGTCGCCGACTTGGCCTCTGTCGATGCCTGTCGGGAGCTACTTCGTGGCGCTACTGCGGTCTACCACGCCGGCCCGAGCATTCACTCCCGCGAGCGGGAGATGGGATTCAACATGATCGATGCTGCTACTGCCGAGGCGCGCGAGCCCGGAAGTCAGTTCCGTCACTTTGTGTACTCTAGTGCTTTGGGTACTCAGCATCGCAAGCTCATGCAGCACGACCTGAAGAGCTTCGTGGAGGAACGTCTGATGCTCAGCCCGATTCCGTGGACGATTCTGCAACCAACCAACTTCATGGATGCCTATCCGGTTGCACACCTTGCCAGCATGGAGAATCCGTCGATGGAACGACTCTGGAAACCCAATATGCCGAACAGCTTGATCGCCCTCAGAGACCTCGGTGAAGCTGCTGCCAAGGTGCTGACTGAACGTGAGAAGCACTTCTATGCGCAATACCCTTTGGCTAGTACCCTCCCCACTACGGATGCCGAGGTATTCGAAGCGATCAGTAAGAAGATTGGGAAGGAAGTTCAAGTCAACACACCAACGTTTGAAAAGGGGGTTGAAAATGCTTTGGCGATGCTGTTTGGAGGAAACAGTATGCTCTGCGCCGAGGGGGATCTGAGACCTGATGTAACAAAAGATGAAGCGGAGAGACTCATTCTGTTCTACAACCGGTACAGCCTGACTGGCAATCCGAATGTGTTGCGATGGCTTCTTGGGCGTGAGCCAACTACAGTGGAGCAATGGGTGAAGCTCCAGCTTGACGGGGCAAAGCTCAAATAGGGGGGCGAATGACATGCATTTGCAGTATCAAGGGCAACTGGTATTACGCACACCCCGAAGTCTCCTAGGACATATCTTTACGTGCCAATTGATGTTGTTAGCCGTATTGTTATGAATCGTTCTCGTAACTATCATGGTGCAAATAAAACAAGAATATTTACTTCCTCCCCATGATGCTCCGCATAAACTCGACTCAAATGTGACATCTCTAGTTTTGCATTGGGGCCTTCACCCACTCCGCGCAGGTTCAGATGCTCGTTCTGATTTATATACGTTGCAAACGTGGGTGCACTGCACACGCTTAAATCAGTCATCAGTGGATCTTCAATTTTCCATGAGAACCCCACGGGGAAGTTGGCATGCATTCGGCAATGACTTTGTCCGTCACACGACCTGGTATCGGTGAGGACTTGGGTGTATAATCTCATTGGTACGGTATGTCCATAAGTCTCCCATAGCACATACTATGCAGCATGAGTCCTTCACTGTTCATGCAATGACCACAAGGAATTGAAGTATTTCTTTCCATCGCCCCTATCAATCCGATCGACAATAGCAACCCTTACTAGACAATTATCAACCAGCGATTATAAAAGCTTTGGAACCATGAATGACAAGTACTCATTGTTTGAATATTACAACATTCAAGTTGAAGCTTCATGGTTCCAATGTCTCCGACATCGCAACTGACAAGGCCCTATTCCTTGACCAGCCCCCGTCTTGGAGTGTTTGAGCTGTAGGTAAGTTTGGTTGTGACACTTGACGATCACCGTGTAATCTCTGAGATGCCAGCTTTTTGTAATTCATGGCCCATGTCCGCAACGTGATTCACGGAAACTAGTCCAATCGCGTCACATAGATTGTGAACTCTTCGCAACCAACACATACAGCAGATGTGATTGGACGATCGACTCAGGAGGATAGAAGCAACTGCTTCTGCGTAGGGAATGTCACAATGTGCGTTGGGTTTGACAGGAATCGCTAATCATGCCATGTGTAGTTCAGTATTGTAACCTATCTTTCCACCGCCAATCAAAGAGACCGAATATCTTTCCCTGTACACTCGTTATGACCACGCTTGAAGTGTGTCTTAACTTCGAACTGGATATCTATGACTACCTCGGCATAACAAATGCTTAAAAGATTGAAGTAAACGACCATTCGTACTGGCCTTGAAGCAGGTCAGGTATGACCAAAGTTTCCTTAGTCAGTCGGACATGCGGACGGCTACGTGTCGATATCCGAGGCTTGTGGCAACACTCTGTCGAGTGCTTCACCACTATTCAGAGAAGTTTTCGTGGGGGCTCAATCTTTCGGGTTTTCCGATTCTCACGATTTCTCACAGTTAGCATTCAGAAGCATCGCGTGCGGTATGCCTCGCGCCGTGTGGCGGCAGGCTAGGTAAGTTATGGGAACTCTGGGCCCATGGTGGGTCAGCATAGGTGCCACAGAGAGTTTCCAAGTTCCGGGCGCAGCAAAGATCAACAGCTCGGTCCACCGAATTTCCGATGCCTCTCGCGAAAGTACGGCCACAGTACCGGTTGTCGGGTTTGCACGTCGTAGACACGGCTCAGGCTCTCGTGCCGTGTACGATGGAGGTCGGAATGTTCAGTTTTCGAGCGCGGGAACACGAGACTGGAATCTTGGTTAGTGCTGAAGTTGACACAGCCATGATCGGAGTCATGTAGTTGTTGGAACTGGTTGCGCAAGGGACAATGCACCGACCCTGGTCATCCGCATCCTTCCATTACCGTAATATCCGACGTGTCTATTTACGGCCCTTCCCACTCCCGTCTCCGATGCAACCTGCTGCCCGTCTTTCACGCCGGCGACATTGCCTTCTCAGTCTCTCAGTGGCGAGAGAATGCAAGTTTCAGTTGAGGGAATAACCTGAAGACATGTTGAAATGATTACATGCTCGGTCTATCGGACAACTGTCAACTTCGGTCTCGCTACGGTTTTCGATCGCACCTGCAGTAAGAGCCGGTAGCCGGACAAGTAAGCTAGTTCACCGGTCGTACTCCCGGCTTCCCGTGCCGCGACTAGACGACAACGAACGCCAAAGCTAGAAGACAGTGAGCCCACTCCAACCAACAGCAACCCATCCTGCAGTGATGACGCATCGCTTTGTCTTCCAGACCAAGACCCAGGAACTTCACATCGACCCACCCGCCGCATCCGATCTGGACACCATCCCCATCTTTCAGCTTGAGAGGCAACCGCGAGAGATTTCTCTGCCACCGAAATCAGGGAGCCCCTTGATTCATCACTGACTAAAAGAGGAACCAAAAGTGGACATCTCTCCACAAAATACCTTGTCAGATCATCTGATAACGGTCCTCTTCGAGAGGGTGACATCGCCGTGGCACCTCGTCGGGGCCCCGAATATCGGACATGGCCTCCGTTTGGCTCACCAATTTTTTTCGACGGGGCCCCGGATCCATCGCGGCCGCAATTCCCCGGCTCGTAATTGGCGGCGCGGCACAACCGGCCGGCACCTCCAACACCGTAACCGAGCCATTTTCATTTAGTCCTCACAGGTGCGAGGTGTACATAGATCTTTTTGGCGAATCATATTGAGCCTTTTCTGAACTCCATCGATGAATCCGCGGGTCTACCCACCCCGAAAAGCAGGTGTTTGTGTAGGAATGAATGACGATCCTGCGACGTGGGTCGGCCGGATCAGCGATTCGAGCCGCGAACGATGGAAAAGCCCGCGGTACGAGATAAAATATAAATCGGCTGAACTCTGCCCTGCCGAGGAGGGCCGATCCCGTGCCTCCTTTCCTTCTGTGGTCGCGCCCTTTGGTTTCCCTCACCCGCTTGGTTTAGGTTACCCACTTGTCATCGCGTGTAGCAACGTCTTGCAGCCACGTGCGATCTACAAGTCAACATGGCTGCCATCCAACCTTCGCCGCCTCGCACGGCCGAGCAGGGCCACGCCGCATCTGAGAGCGACATCGAAAAGACAACTGGTCAGAATGTGATCGACATCCATGCCGACCCCTTGAAGACGGAGGCAGATGACGCCGGTTCCGAGCACAAGCAGGAGGGTGTCAAGAAGGTCGAGGCCATCACTACAGTGTGGTCAACGAAGATGCTCTGGGTTGTCTTCGTCTTGTATGTTGAGGTCATCCGTGATTGGTTATGAGAGACTAACGCTAAGATGTTAGGCTGTACCTGGTCGCCTTCGTCGATAACCTTCTTCAATCTGTCCAGAGTAACTTGACACCCTACGTCACCTCCGCCTTCGGCCAGCATGGACTCCTGTCGACGACGAGCATCATCTCTACGATTCTCGGTGGTGTTTCGAAGCTCACCATTGCCAAGATCATCGATATCCGCGGCCGTACCGAAGGTTTCTCATGGATGGTGCTCCTCATTAGCATCGGTATGATCATGAAGGCCACCTGCAAGAACGTCGAAACGTACGCCGCCGCGCAGACCATCTTCTGGGTTGGCCACATCGGCTTGCAGTATATCGTCACGGTCTACCTTTCCGACATGACGTCCCTGAAGAACCGAATGATCATGATTGGTATCAACGGCACCCCGCTCATCGCGACGACCTTCGCCGGCCCGAAGATTTCCCAGCTGTTCTACGATAACGTCAACTTCCGTTGGGCTTTCGGAGCATTCGCCATCATTCTCGTTGGCATTTGCATTCCCGTCGCGGTGATCTTCCTCATGAGTGAGATCAAGGCCAAGAAGATGGGCCTGATCCCTCCCAAGGTTAAGACTCGCAGCACTTGGGAGTCTGTTAAGCACTACTTCATTGAATTCGACAGTAAGTCTCCATCAAGATGAAGATAGGAACATGCTCTAACAACCTTGTTACAGTCGTTGGCCTGCTTTTGGCTTCCGGTGGTTGGTCTATGCTTCTGTTGCCTTTCAGTCTCGTCAGCTACACCTCGCATAGCTGGGCAAGCCCGACAATCATCTGCCTCATCGTCTTCGGTGTGGTGGGCTTGGCCCTTTTCGCCGTCTGGGAGAAGTGGTTTGCGACTGTCTGTCTGTTCCCTTACCACTTCCTGAAGGACCGCACCGTCCTTGGCGCCTGCTTGGTGTATGGCATCATGTTTGCCTCGATTTAGTACATCCCAATCCTGCTCAAGTCGCCTAGTCTGTGTCATATCTGACCGTTTCATAGCTGCTGGGACTCGTACTACCAGTCTTACCTGCAGGTTGCGCACAACCAGGACATCACCAGCTCAGGCTACATCCTAAACACCTTCAGCTTGACCTCAGCTATCTTCTCGCCTCTGATAGGACTGTGGGTCTTATACAAACCATAACTTGAGTGTATACACTAACATCGTCCTAGTCTTATCCGCTACACCGGAAAGTTTAAGTGGACTGCCATGGCCGGCATCCCCATCTGCGTTCTCGGCACCGCTCTTCTTATCTACTTCCGTCACCCAGGAACCAAGGTCGGCTACCTCGTCATGTGCCAAATCTTCAACGGTGTTGCCAGCGGCATTTGGGCCAGTACCTCCCAGCTTGCCGTCATGTCCTCCGTCACTCACCAGCAAGTCGCTATTGGTCTCGCTCTGCACGGTCTCTTCGGTTCCATCGGCGCCGCCATCGGTCTCGCTATCGCGGGTGGTATCTGGAACAACGTCCTCGAGAACAACATCTACAAGAACCTGCCTGCCGACAGCAAGGACCTCACGGCCAAGATCTTCGGAGATCTCACTACTCAGCTATCGTACCCCATGGGCAGCCCTATCCGCGAGGCTATCATTGCCGCGTATGCCGACGTGCAGAGGAAGATGGTGATTGCTGGCTGCGCGTTCATCCCTCTCATCTTCGTGTCCTTGGTCATCTGGCGTAACATCGATGTCAAGACTGTGGAGGAGAAGAAGGGCAAGCAGACCAAGGGAACCGTGTGGTAAGAATCACGCGTGGTCAGAATGGGTACTTGCAGCGCCCCTTCGCGTGTAAAAAGCTTCAAGAGATGTTCAACTCGTCTCTACTAGTATATCACTTTCCCTGAATAAACCAAGACTACTGTGCTCAAACTGCTATCGATATACCGCATGTGCAAGTTTGCTCGGGTGTAGACTAGTACTGACATGGTCTGGGAGAACACTCAACTGCTCTAGGATAAGACGAATCTCTACTTGGGACAGAGGCGCCCATTCTGCGTCGGGTAGTACGCAATTTGGTCCGTGATGTACCAGTCCTCCGCACCAATAGCAGTAGCAGCATACAAGACTCCCCAAGGATCATACTTCTGCTTCAGTTGATATAGGTAATCGTAGTTGTTGCCGTAGTACGCTTGCTGCAAGTCTGGCTCGTTGATATCTGCCTCATTTAGGTATGTTCCCGCACCCGGGCTAGCATCACGCCATGGCTGCAGCTGCTGTACCAACTTCTTGCTTGCCGTAGCAATCTCCTCAGGTGTGGCTTCCAGATCCCAGGCGGCCCCCAGCATGACGAAGGCCAGAGTCTCTCGGAAGGCAGGGTTAACGGAGTTGGTCTGGTTGAGGGAAGGGTTCACACCCGTCTTGATGTTATAACCCATAACGCGACCACCATCCTCGGCGGTTTGTCGTAGTGCCTTGGTCTGGGCTGCCAGCTTCACCCGGTCTTCCCAGTTGGATCGCGGAAAGAGACGGGACGCGGTATGGAAGTTCCATACGCCGACAAATTCCCCATCGACAGTCCACGTGCTCAGGACTGCATCGCGCACGCCATTGAACTCGGTGTACTTGATGTCCGAGACGGGGATGTGGAGCGCTGAAAGGTTTCCGAAGAGCGGAGCAGAGACGGACTTGAGCTTGGCAGCGTCCATGTCGATGCCAAGCTGAGGCAGCATGGAGAAGGCGCAGTTCGTCTCGTTGGTGCAAACAAGAGACCAGTAGCTGAACATGCCAGCATCGGCATACTCCGGGAACACTGCGAAGACGGCATCGACACCGGACCAAAACGCCTCCGTGGACACGTTGCCGCCGGTGTTGAAGCTATAGCTAAGGGAGGTTATCGGAGTCTTCGGGTAGGCACGGATGACGAGGGAGGTAATGATGCCCCAAGTGCTGCCTCCGCCGCCACGTAGGGCGAAGAAGAGGTCTGGGTAGTTGTTCTCATCGACAGATACGAAGCGACCATTGGGAAGCACAACCTCCATCGATAGGACCTGGTCGGCTCCAGCGCCATACGAGGAGATCAAGGGGCCATTACCTCCACCTGCTACGTAGCCACCGCCAACTCCAATGGTCTTCTCGATCGGTCAGTGTGCCAATGTCTTCAAGCATATGCCATTGCCGATGATAGGAGGGGAAGGAAAACTTACGCGCGCGATACCACCAACCACCTGCAGACCCTCCTTATCCGCAGCATCATAGTAGTCGAGCATGGTTACTCCGGAGCCAATCTTGAAGGCCGGACCTTGGTAGCCGGAAGTGCGATGTTTGAAGCTGGCGCCGAGGTACTGGATTCCTTGTAGATGGTGAGTCCATACAGAGAGAGCGCCGGCACCGGCCGACTTTCCGCTGAAGTCATGACCTTTGTTCTTGACAATCAATCTCAGGTTGAGGTTGCGCGCGAAGTTGACCGCAAGCTGAATCTGAGCAACGTTGGTCGCATTCAGGACGTAAGACGGGTGTCCGCCTTGGGTGCAGGTGGCGTTGGAGCGCGTCAGACTCGGGGGAAGACAGCTCACGCCCTCGTAGAGGGGGAAGTCCAGGCCAGTAGGTTCGGATGCCCTAAAATACTTAGCGGAATCCTTTGTGAAATATGGTGCAGGGGTAGCTCACTGGTAGGAAGGACTTGCCCATTGTGCCGTGACCTCGGCGCATTTGGCTTCGTCGTATTGCGGCCAGTCCTTGTAACAGACAGCCGCCGATGGGACACTATCCAAAAGCGCAGATCCCGTCAACAGACCGAATACAGACCATGTGGCTGATGAAGGCCAGGCGCTATCCCCGGGGAAGACCTTGCAGGAGCGGGCAGCTCTTTTGCCGGTCACATCGCCCTCGTCTCCGAAGTCAAAGACGCTAGCATCGCCGATGTCGTAGCTGGTCAAGTTGGCAAGGACCTTGTCGGTGAGCTGCGATGTCTCGAAGTCGAGGTACTCAACACCCGAAGCTGCAGCATTTGCCGCGATCACTTCGGCTGCAGGAGCAGTTCTGTCGTTGGAGATGGCTATGAGGTATAAGCAGGTGCCGGCTGCAGGGTCTGGAGCTTCCGAGTTTTCGAGCGCATATAGAATTAGTGAGGAAGAGAAGCACACGTACCATCATTGTTTGAAGATTGAGCCGCCGCTAGACATATGACCGACAAAGCGGCGAAGATGCCAGCCTTTGACATTGCTGCGAAGGAGTCAGATGGTACAGATGACAACCATGGACTACCAAGCGTGATGGCGGACGAGGAGTGACAACGGGAAAAGGATGGCAGAGGGAGCAAAGAACACATCCAGACCGTCGAAAACCATGATCTTTAAGGGCAAATTCCCCCTGCAATGTGGTATGCAGGAACGGTGGCGACCTCGGATGATTCTCAAGTCGATCTCCACCGACTGTTCATGGCCGGAGAGTCTCTCCGGAAACAGATTCGGGGACCCGCTTCACTCCGAGGACCTGCCGGCCGACCGACCAATCTTTGCGACCCGGGACAATTGGGCCGTCGACTAGCCGGGCTTCTGGTCCGGACGCCACTCGGACGCTTTCGCCCCCAAGTTTCACTTCTTGGTAGCAGCACGCTGTTGGTTTTCCTCCAAGAATGCTGCCTTCTTTCCGGTCATGATTGTGTGGGGGACGAAAGGGACTTTGGAGACATGCGCTGGCCGGAGATTGCTTTCCTGTACTGCGCCGCCAGCGTGCATACTCGGCAGCGATGTTTCTGCAGGAATCCTCCACTAAACCGGTCTTGCTGACACTCTGCAGCATCGATGCCTCTTCCAATCCCGGTCGAAGAAGATCTAGGCAAGCAGCGACGAATGGCCAACCAGATGAGCGGTGGGGCCGGTCGCTCGAGTTTCCTCTTGCGGCGCGGGCCGAGGAGGAATCGGTTGAGGTCGATTTTGCCGCCATTGATGAGGGGATTGAACCACGCGGGATATTTTGGGCGAGTATCGCGTTGAAAAACAGAGTCGATTCTATTCCGCGATCGAATTTGAGCGGTCTGGGCTGGAATGATGATGCGATTTTGACGAAATGGACGCGACAAACGAGTCGCTCAATTGGCACCCCTGGAGCGATGGAAGAATCCCCACGACTTATTATCCATGTTTGTTTCTGTCAGACAGGGAGCCGATTTGATAGATCAGAGTCTATTTATTTGACTTCTTGGCTGATAACAACACTCAATGAACGCATACGATGATCTTGACGTCCAGAGAGAATGTGGTGTTGTCGGAGACGAGGCCAGTCCGTAATCGATTCTAACCCTATGAAACCTAATGCCATGTAAGTAGTGACAATAGTTATGAGACCAGTTACTGAACTGTGTCACAGCGACTGTATTCTTGTGTTTCTGTCGTTATCACTGCTATTCCCTCTGCTAGCAGCGTCTATCCCATTGTCGTCTATGATCCCTGCCTCCTCTCGTGGCTGCTTTCACTTGGTTGACTCTCCGAAGCTCGATCATGTTCCAAAAAATGATAATGTAGTCCGCTTAGAACTAGAATTGGGCCTTCACGGTACACGTTGTATACTGCAGGAAACTTATGCAGTCTACCGGAACCAACTTCACAAACAACACCTTCGCCCCGGGCCGCCCGGAGCAAGAGCACCGAACTCGGATGCATGGGTCCTACGGGGCGGGTCTGATCCGGCACCCATCGGATCGAAGCTTCGGAGATCATGTTTCGAGCCCATGAACAACCGTGCCCGACGGGAAACACCGCCTGAAGCACCTATATTTAGTCTGCTTTCCAAACTCAGCACGAATAGTCGCTGTTTTTGGCGGGGTCTAACAAATGTTGCTGTCATCAGTATCACCACATTCAAGATAGAACCTTCACCAATCCGCATCAGCATCAGCTTTGGACGCAGGCCGATCCGCCGATAGCGCATGGTCACCGGAAACATTTGGGCTGTTCGTTTCTGGCGGGGCCACAATCGTTCCCAGTCGTAGCTCAGGATGATAGAGTACCCCGTGCCAAAGGAGAACATCTGGAATGATTTAGTGAAGGATGTGAGTGATTTCTCGACTTCTAAAATCATGCCAATCGGCAAGATGGCAGATTGGGCCACGCCACCATGAACGAAGAATGAGCTTTACTCAAAAGTTGAATGCTCAAGTTGCGCTGCGGCCTCTATATGTTTTGGCCCAACATCTTGCGCTAAGATTGACCCTATGTCTGAACTAATCGGCGCAATTGTCTTGGGAGTTTGTCCCCAAATAAGTGATAGCGTCATCGCACGCGAAGCATTGCTTGGTGTAGTGACTCGCGGCCAGCGGAGAAAGGAAACCCCACGTGGTAGTAGCAACATCTACGAAAAACCAAGGCCTGGAGGTGGAGAAGGCAGGGCTATATAAAGGAGCTTCGTGGGCCTCAAGGAGATGGGGTTCAAGAATACCAGGGCGGTTCGGCCTCATTCACTCATTTTCGCCACCATGGAGAACGAGATGGAAACCAGAATTCTGCTCGTTCCGAAGATTCATGAAAGTTGCCGACACAGTCCCTCCCAGAGGGCACTGAAACAAGCAGGGTTCTGGAGTATGCTCATGATACTTGACATGAGCGTATTGTTCGAACTACTACACGAGCTTCAGACGGCATCCTGGATGGAAAGAAGACGGCTGGTGTGCGGCTTGGTGCCGGTGGCGCAGAGGTTGCCGATGCTAGTCAAGATATGCATGACCTCCCTGCAGCCCAACTGATTTCCGATGAAAGCTGACCGGTCAACAGTTCTTCAACGGCTGTATGCGCCAGGATTCTCCGAGTCAAGCAGTCTTGTGATGCGTACTGAACGTCTACGAAGCCAAGCAGAGCGAGCGAAAGTGAAGTTCCCCTTTGGGTCTAGGTCTAATCCGGCGTTGCTGACAAGAATCTGTCCCAGGCATTCAAGCGCGACGAGGGCCGGTGCGTTGTCACGGGGACCACGGACCCCGACGTTTGCCACATCTTCCCGTTCGCCGACAGCGAGAGCGACCAATACAGACATCATCTGGTTGGCCTATTTCACATGGAGGCGTTTTGGGGCGAGGCTCGCTGCAGGAGACTGTACAAAAGTCTCAGCAGCGGCAGGCTTCCCAACATGATTGACACAGTAGCGAACATGATTTGTTCAAGTCGTGAGGTACATACTAGCTGGGCGCAGGGCTTGCTGGCCTTTGAATCCCTTGAGACACCAGCAACGTGTTGGCCCTGCATTCGCCTCAGGGTTCACTGGCTGGAGAGGACACGGATTCCGTCCATGGAGAGCAGAGTTTCTTTCTCGACGGATCCGCGCACCGTTCTGGTCCCGGAAGACATGCGAATCACGAGATCACGACCGGTCACAGATGGGCAGTTAATCACCATATTTGCTGAGAAAAAGGACCAGCTTCCTAATAGAGACATCCTTGAGCTGCAGTAGGCATTCCTCAGGATGCACGCCTTATCAGGAGCACCAGATGCTCGAGTATACCCCTGGCATCCTGAGGAGGCTGATGGCTTTTGGGACACTGACGATGATTAACCATGCAGGAACTCATCGGCGAGCTTGACTGTGACTTTATGGATAAAGATAATTACATATAGAACGAGAGGTAGCTAGCTGTCGACGTACGACATGTAAATATGAGTAGCCGTACCATATGTGGCCATAGAGGGTTCTCTGGGAGCCATCCTGGTCCTCAAATATTTCCCCGTCAGAGTCCTACGGTAGTCAACAAGGCGTGTCCGCAGGCGGCAGCCTGCCATAAGAAGAAAGTATGAAAAAGAGTTAGAAGGGAAGAAGGATGAATGGGCGTATACATTGTAGATCGACTCGCGATGTCCAAGATCCAAATAGTCCTGCGTGAATCAAACATGCCCAGTCCGCATACATGAAGGCGTGAATGATTCCATTTCAGTATTCATTGATGTTCGTTCGTGGAACTGGAAGGTTAATAGGCCCTACTGGCTGGCTCAAGGGTATGTTCGCAACATCACAGGACACATCGTCCGGCGAGATGTCAATATTCCATGGCGTTCGGTGAGTACCGGCGTTGATCATGAATTGGCACGCAATGTGGCGCCTGTATTGACGCCACATGAAGGAAGACGTTTTTCGCGAAGACAAGGGAGACGTCGGGAGTAGTTCCCGTGATGTTGAGACCACAAGTTGGGCGTTTCCGGGAGTAGAAGTGCATGCACCGCCGATGTATCAAACGCGCGGGTGGCTGAGCTTCAGGCCACTACAGGCACATACGTTTCGGAAAATAAATACGAGTTTTGACTTAATCCAAGGGGCCAGCTCGAATTTTCCAACAGATCCATTTCTCAAGGGGCAGTGTTTGCTGCACATTACCTCAGCCGGACACGCACGTGTCATGGGGTGGTTCTAGATGACTGCACTAAAAACAGAAGCAAGAGGGGGCTGGCAACCACGGAGGCTAAGTCGAAATGATTGAGGCTCGGCTCAATTGATCTGCCACATAAGAACAAATGATTGATCCTTTCGGCTGGGGTCGTGATTGCCAAGCTTCTCAATCTCAGGGGCCGCCTTCCAGGACACACAAATCAAACTCCTTCCTTCCAACATGCACGACAATATTCCATTGAATAACCTCCAGAACCATCGGCCTTTCGAACCCCGTCGACCTTACACCACGTTATCCAACCCCAGCGACGTTGGTCGCAGACATAGCAAGATGGGGTCCATCAGAGTGGCCATATCCTACGCCTTCGACTGGGCAATTCTCGTTGTCTTTGCAGTCGCAGGATACATTCTAGGGAATCTTACACCGCAAAAGCGCCCTTTCAGTTTAGGAAACCCCGACATCAGCTTTCCTCTTTATGACGACACCGTCTCCATCACGAACGCATTTCTCATCTGCATCGTCGCACCTATACTTGTCATTCTGATCGTCTCTCTGCTCTTCGTACCGGGCTCGACAGTTCCCCCAAGCACGCCGAAGTCCATCATCTGGAGACGAAAGCTCTGGGAGATCCACGCGGGATGGCTGGGTCTCATCTTCTCCGTAATCGGGACATGGTTCATCGTGAGCACGACCAAGAACCTCCTCGGAAAGCCACGACCGAATGCCATCGCGCGCTGCCAGCCGGACCTCGAAAACATCGCCCAGTACATCATTGGTGGCGTGGCGGCAACCACTTCATCGACACCGGGACAGCTAGTATCTGCCGATATCTGCAAGAATCCTGACGCCAGTGT